AAATGCATTTAAATCACAGCTACAGTGCACTCAGATGGGAATGTAGAGCCTGAGTGAATTATTGATTGTTTTTCACATTTGATAAGGAAGTCAGGAGAGAAATGATGTCTAATATACAGAAATAGGGTAGAAGCCTCCCGTGGGTTGTAACAGAAGAGCAAGCATGTGAAGGTCTCACAATAGCCACAGCTTTCACTTCTGGAGGTACAAAAGGCCATGAATTAGTGAAATACTTCAGGTGGGGATCCAGGGGGGTGGGTCTGGTCCATGCCCCATGGATTTTTTCCCTGTTTTCTCTCAGTGTATGTGCTGAGTGCCCATAAGCCGCCTTCCTTTATCTCCTTGGGCAAACGTGGGAAGCAAATGTTCCAATTTAACAGGGAAATCTCAGACACCATTTAAAGGCTGAGGTGTTCTCCGATCCTCCCTTCCCCAGTCTCCGGGGAGACCGTTCCCATGCCATCCTGCATTTATACATCCCCGCAGGGATAATTTCCCCGATCCAAGGGGCTGCTCGGAGGATTTGCTGGAAAAGCTTTTTTTAAACCCCAGAGAGGGGTTTCAGATCTTCGGCGGTGGCTTTGTGGGAGCGTGACTGAATTGTTCCCAGCCCTGAGCTCCTCACCTGTCTGGGTCGTGCGTGCGGCTGACAGACAGATGGACGGACAGCCCGTGCTCTGTGTGAGAATGCAAACAGCTGAGCCAAGGCTTAATCCTCCCCCCAGCCCTGACCTTTTTATTCATGCCTGCACCTGGCAGGAGCAGCAATCATTCATGGCTGTGGCCTCGGAAACAGCTGTAGATAAACACTGGAGTTATATTTAAAAAGGGTGCTGCAGACATGGGGGGGAGGTAAATGAACAAAATCACTCGCTAGCCCATCACAGACCAATTTTAAAGAGAAAAGAGGTTTTTAAGAACATCAGTTTAGGCTCGCAGTGAGCATGGCAGGTCTCTTGTGCTGAATGCAATGATGGTTGTGCAGAAACATTTGCAGAACTGGGGCACAGAGACCTGAGAGTGTGACTGACTGAGGGCGGGTCAGGGCTGTGGCCGTGAGCACAGGCAGCTCCAGCACCCTGGGACCAGCTGGCTCGGGAATGGGAATGGGTTCAGGCTTCAGCAGGAGCTGTGCAGGGCTGCCTGGCAAACAGCAGGAGGACAGACAGTTGCTGTGGCAGTTCTCTCATCCTCTGTGCGGGGGGATGTGGCTGAGGACCCTCTGCAGGGGCTGTGTCGTGCCCGGTGCTGTGGCTGAGATGTGCCCTCAGCACAGACTGAGCTGCAAATCCTTTCCTGGCTCAGGAATAGCTGTGTTTTATCCCATCAGAGCAATTCCCAACCTGGATCTGGCCGTACACTCTCCCTGGCCCCCTGCAGAACAAACCAGGCTAAACCAGAAGAGCAGATTGATGCCAGGGCTGCATTTCTTGCAGCCTCTTTTAGCAGGAACCTGTGAGTGCACTCAGGAGGAACCTGGCTGTCCCGGCAGAAGGCTGCACTGTGGAAATTGCTGTTTTCCATGGAGCAGGAAAATCTATTCATTATATAAGAGAAAGGCTATGTCATCAGATTCTGTCTTCAAAAAGAAGCAGTTTTCAAGAAGCGGAGCAAAATTTGAAATGAAGCTTGTCAATTTGTAAATGTTTGGTAGCAAAGGCACTGTAAGACAGCAGATGGAGCTGTGAAAGGGGGTTTGGTTCTTTTCTGTCTACCACCTCCTTTCTCCAGCACTCTTCCTCTGTTTTAAGAATAACACTCCCTCAATAATGACTCACAGCCAGTGCCACAAAAATCCTGGCTGTCAGAGAAACTGCTGCTTGTCTGACAGGAGTGCAGGGAATGTTGGTTTGTTCTGTCTCTGCTGAAATCACAGCTCGGGGATGGTTCTTCTAGAAAGTGGCCCTACTTAGAGATTCCAGGCACAAGGCAATTATCTGTCTTCCCTTGCTCAGTGTAATTAATAAATGTGGTTTTCTTCCTGGGCACCAAGGGATGCCATGTTCGTCATGGAATGGACCATATTGTCCAGAGCAAGGAGATGAAAATTCCCTAGGAAGTCAGAGCTCTCCTCTGGGAAGATGGATAAACCCATGGGTGTACCAGTAGGGACTGGAATATTCCCCATATCCTGCTAGATCTCTGCTAATCAGAAAAGAAAAGATATCCTCTGCTCAGAAGGGAATAAAGACATCCTCAGGGATAATCCGGGAGAAGCAGCTGGCAGAGCTACAACCCTCTATCACCCCGTGGAATTTGCAGTTCTGGTGGAAGCAGAACCTGAGGAAAAGAGCAGTTTCAGACTTCCTGGCTGCCTGAGGGTGATGGTGCTGCCCTGTGTGATGGAGTTACTGCCAGAGCAGCTGCACAGGTAGAAACACCTTTTTTCAGTTATTGGAGCAGGGAACTGTGCTGGGATTCCTGGGTCCTTCCCCCAGCTCTGCCTTTGATTTGTGGTGTGTGCAGACCCCTTAATTTGTTTCTGTTCTCCCCATCTGTGAAACTGAGATAAGATCACGGGGGAATTGTAAAGTGGGATTCATTAATGTTTATTAGGCAGAGGGAGATCCTTCAATGAATGGCACTGTATTCTGGGAGGACAAAGTTCAAGACTGCAAAGAGGCTGATTAAATCCAAATCTGCTATTTCCAGACTAGGAGGACAAAAAAAAGAGAATGGAAAAACCTTACCTAGGCCTATGTCTGCCAAAAGCAGTATGTGATTTAAATAAAGTCAAGCAGACTGTGCAAATGTGAGCACATACATGCTTAAATATGAATCTACTGAAACCATTAAATATTTCTTAGTAAATGTACACAAAGAAAGTGTAATGAGGATGTGTTTGAAGTTTCCAGTGTGTATATGATCACCATGAACCATGAGTTACCAGTGGCAACATGGCATCATGAGGCAATAAATATGGTATTTCCCATAAAGGGATGTAACAACATCCAGGGAATTGGCACAGGGAGGGAACAGAGGGAACAGAGCTATGGGTTGGTTAAAGGAATCTCTCTTAGTTGTGGTGCTGTAATGAAACAGTTACTGCAATGTTGTCTCTTCTCTGTAAGGAAGGGCAAGAAAACCAGCTTACCTGGGGGATTTTACAGTGCCAGTTTGTTGACAGATGAAACAAATATTTATAGGTTAGACACAGCTGGAGGTGGCAACTTTTGGACCGTCTTCCATCAGAGTGCATGTTCCCAGTGGGGAGATATTCGTCCCGTTGTGCCAGAGGTAAAAATTGATTTGTTGTAACCGGAGCCAGTGGGTGGCCTGAATTCACTCCTGGTGTGACAATAAACTTATTGTGTGATTCTTGTCACTGATAGAGCCTAATGGAGGGTGAAACAACATATCCAGGGCGTGTGAGGGAAGCAAACCCTGACAAAACACACCCCAAAAGCCGTGCTTTGGCGCAGACGGGGTTCATTTGCAGCCACCACAGACGCTGGGAGCTGGACTGGGGCCGGTTTGTGTTCAGCATTCAGCGCTTGCCACCTTCAGGCTTGATGTGAATCCACAGACGGTGCTGCAGAGGTGGCACCTTAATTCCTTAATCACACGGAGTTTTGGTGCTGCTGCTGTCAGCAAAAATCGGGTTTGTTACCCGCTGTGCAACAAGCTCGAGAGAGACACTGGTTATTTATTTCAGAGCCAGGCGCTCGGTGGAATTCCACAAATCCAGCACCACAGCTATTAATACTTTTCACTCTTTATACATTTTGGCAAACAAAGGAATTAGTGTTCGTTGGCTGCAAGTTACATAGTTCTCCTGTTAATTAGTACTCTATCTTCTGTTGGTTAATGATTCTCGCTTCTCACACTAATTATTCTTATGCTCGGTCTCTCTCTTCTTTTGGGTCGGTGGGTTTCTTGGGTCAGTGGTTCCAGAACTGTTTTTTACCCAGCTGGAGCTGATTTCAGCACAGTTTCAGAGTTGCCTTGATTAGTCTCTTCCTCTCCTTGGGAGTTTTGCCAGATGTCCCATAAATTCCGCATTCTTCGTGTCCACTATCAGTGGACATCCTTTTTTTTCCAAGCTTTGTTAACCCTGCCCTAGGTCTGAGGTCGTTGGAGCACATCCAACGCTAAACCTTAACAAGGCAATTCTAATTCTATCAACAAATTTGCAATACAAGCCACCAAATACCATTTTTTGCAATGCAACTCCCAAAACTTTTATAGTGTCATCCGGGTTATCGTGACGGGCTGTATAAGCTCCAGAGGACTTTTTTAAAGAGAAATATTGCGTGGATTCCACCGAAACATTTAAATCTTAGCTTTGGAAGTGTAAGAACTGTGAAGAACAATTAGTACTGTTGGTGGAAGTGATTAAACAGCAACAGGAAAAATCGTTGACCGTAAGCAGCAGTCGGCACAGATTTCTCGCTTTTCACACAGAAGAGGAAAAACTTTGGTGTGAGGATGAAATCCTCACCCGAGAGCGGCAGGATGTGTGTCTTTTAATCAGGATCGCTTAAACAGGACCTTAATTCGCAGGCTCAAGGCTCAAACTTTGCCAGAAATGTATTTTCGGAGGTGGGTTAGGACTGGGTGAGCTTTAAGGTCCTTCCAGCCCTCAATATGCTGTGATTTTATGATTAAATTTGTGATTTTATTTACGATTCACGACTCTGAGCCGAGGTGAAGCGCTGAGGGGAGGAGGGGGCGGGGCCTGAGTGGGCGTGGCCCGGGCGGCGCACGCGCGATGGGCGCGTAAACAGCGGCGGGTTCCGTGAGGGCCCCGGGGGTCGCTCCAGGTGAGGGGGGTCCGGCAGGTGAAGGGGGTCCCCAGGTTAGGGGGTCTCCAGGGGATCCCCGACCCCCTCCGGACCCCCGCCATGGACAGCCCGGCCTGCCCATCCGCCGCTTCCGCCGCGAGCTGGTGGAGGCCGTGAGAGAGCGGCCCTTCCTCATCGTCACCGAACGGCGAGACGGGCAGCGGCCAAGACGCACGCAGCTGCCAAGGTACCATCTTCGAGGCAGGTACACGGACCCCCCCCCGGGCCCCCGAGGGTGGGGTATGAGCAGGGATAAACGCGTGTCCCCTCAGCTTCGGGCTGGGCTGTGCTGAAAGGAGGGTGATTGGACCCTTTAAATAAAAAAAAACCCTGTTGCCGTGTGTATGTTGTGTAGGTAGGGGTGTGCGAGCTGACTCGGAGCTGCACAGCTCACGGTGCCGATAACTCCAGGGTCGTGGTTCGATCCCTGTACGGGACATTCACTTAAGGGTTGGACTCGATGGTCCTCGTGGGTCCTTTCCAACTCAGAATATTCTGTATAACCCCAGTGTCCCAGTTCATCTCAGATCACTGGGGTTCTTTCAAGCTGGAGAAGGCTCTGGGGTGACCCTAATGTGGCCTTCCAGTACCTGAGAGGCTCCCAGAGAGCTGGAGGGAGACTTTGGACAAGGGTCTGGAGTGACAGGACAGGGGGAATGGCTTCCCACTGCCAGAGGGCAGGGTTAGGTGGGATATTGGGAAGAAATTCTTCCCAGTGAGGGTGATGAGGCCCTGGCACAGGTTGCCCAGAGAAGCTGTGGCTTCCCCATCCCTGGAAGTGTCTGGGGGGAGGTTGGACGGGGCTTGGAGCAACCTGGGCTAGTGGGAGGTGTCCCTACCCATGGCAGGAGGGTTGACACGAGATGATCTTTAAGGTCCATTGCAACCCAAACCACTGTGTGACTCTGTGCTCTCTGCAGGCCTGGCCAAGCACGGGGCCATCGGTGTCACCCAGCCCCGGCGCGTCGCCACCATGTCGGTGGCGCAGCGGGTGGCCGAGGAGATGGGCTGTGCCCTGGGCACTCTCGTGGGGTACCAGGTCCGCTTCGACGACTGCACCTCCGAGGTAGGGCCCTGGGGGAGCAGGGGGCTCAGTGGGCTCTGGCTCAGGGTTTTGCCCCTGGGCCTCTCCATGGGGTGGCACAGCCTCAGTGCCTCTCCAGGGGCTTGGTGGTGTAAGGTCTCAGAGCCTGCACCAGCTGTGGTGGAGCTGCAGCTGTTGGTGTTGTATAACTCATTTGGTGAAGTTTTTTGCATCATGTAAGTTGTCTGATGAAGTTTTTTGAACCCCTTGCAAGTGAAACGTTGCCGAGCACCTGTGGTGTGGTGCATGATGGTCACCTGTGGTGCAGTCTGAGAGTGTGTCCTGGAAAAGATGTGATGATCTAAGTGTTTGCTTGACTTTGAAATGATAATCCAGGATAGCAGCTCATTGTCTGATTAAACCTTTCAGGACACTGCCATCAGGTATATGACTGATGGCTGCCTGTTGAGGCAAATCCTGACAGATCCCCTCCTCAGCAAGTACAGCATCATCATTTTGGATGAAGCCCATGAGCGCAGCCTCAGCACTGTGAGTGTCACCTTATTTCTGTCCTTTGGGGTCACTGTTTCTCCTTTTTATGGTCTGTTTATACCTTTCTTTCACTTCTGCACAATCCCCAGGGATTTTGACTGCCTTTTGCTGTCCTGAGACCATAGAACTTTATTACAGGCTCAATAATCTGAAAATAAGATGTGACCTGTAGTCCTGTTGCAATTGGCATAGCTGTTGTTGTGTTTGAAAGCATTCCAGCAGCTTTCCTGGCTGTTGGATGCTCTCCCAACATTTCCAGGAGTTTGAAGCCAGCACAGTGAACACAAACTTTCTAGAATCTTTATTTTTCCACTCACTAACAACACCCTGAAACATCTTTCTTGCTCTAGTGTTTCTAAGGGTGTGTTCACAACTGTGCAAAGAGATTATGGTTTTTAGGACCATGGAAGTGTCCAGACTGACCTAAGTCCCAAAAGCTCTCAAAAGTCACCCTGACCCTTCTGTGGGCAGCACAGGGACACTCAGGTCACTCAGTCCTCAAGAGATTGTGTTGTGTGTCAGACAATCTGCTGCTCCAGCAAACAACCTGCCAGCCCAGCTGTGGAAAGGGGAAAATGTTCTCTGAATCCCAGTTCTGCCCTCAAGCACCTGAGGGTATGGCACATAAACTGAGTGAGGTGATTTAAGAAGTTACTGCTCCATCACCTGTGTCCCTGTGAGGAGCAGGTTTTTAATCCAGAGCACCCCAGAGTAAAATAAACTTGCTGAAATCATCACAATAAGTGGTGAGACAAAGGAGGGTGCACACACAGTCAGGTGATACGCTGAAAAATGGGGTGAAAAATGGGTCTGAGGTGACTGCTGGCAAATGACTTGACCACAAGAGTATAAAAATGAGAAACAAAGGAATTTAAGGTATACTGGTTCTGTCTATGGGCTGTGAGAAGAGCTGATAAAAACGAATTAAATTCTAGAAACCAATTAGTGTGCTTACAAAATGACCAGGGTGAAAAATATGTTTTCTTCTGAGTGCTTAGGCCTGGAATATGGGATTTTCATTGGCAAAAACCAGTCCCTTCCAAGTGCTTCAGGCACTTCTAGTAAAGCTGGGGTATTAACATCAGTTGTTTCTTCTGTTTTTTCTCTCAGGATATTTTATTTGGTTTGCTGAAGAAACTCTTTCTACAGAAGAAGCCCCCGGACAGGAAGACGGAGATGAAGGTGGTGGTGATGTCGGCCACCCTGGAGGTGGACAAGCTCTCCGAGTTCTTTGGACACTGCTCAGTGCTGCACATTCCAGGGAGGAGTTACCCTGTCAAGGAGATATTCTGCAACCTGCTGAGCCCCAGGGACGTGGGCAGCTCTGCCTATGTCACAGAGGTCTGGTGGCTTTGTTTTCTGGGCGTGTTCTCTGGTTTTGGTGTGATTTAATCTGGGACAGACCACAGGAGTCAGCTGCTGGATTGTGTATCTGAGCATCCCTGCAGGAAATAGGGAAGAATTAATTAGTATGATGAGTTTGAGAAAGGTTGCAGCTGTTATTGGCTTGTCTGTTGTTTGTTCCAGGCTGTGAAAGTCACGCTGGATGTCCACCTGAATGAACCAGAAGGTGACATCTTGGTCTTCCTGACAGGTGCGAATTTTTCCTTCCACCACCCATGGTTATTCCGGGTTATTCCATGGCACTGCCAGCAAAACAGGCTGTCTGCTTTGTCCCAGAGCAGTGAGTGGAGAAGGGAAAGGTGGGGGTTGATGCACACAGTGATCATTTTCAGAGCATTTTAGGAATATCTGTACCCCTGAGGCCAGATAAGAAAATCACTAACTTGAAAATTTGCACATTCTCTTCCCTTCTTGTGCCAGATTGACTCTGTGTTGCCTGCATGTTTTATTTTGTTGTTAATTCAGGAAGGGGGAATTACATCAATGTATAGGCCAGACCCTTAGGCATTCATCTTTTCAGGAACAGCCTTGGTGAGAGGCACTGTGGAAAGGCTGGATGTCACCTCCCAAACTTAACTCTCATTACACCCTTCTTTTAATGGTGTTGACAGCTCTGTAATATTGACAAACCAGTCTTGTTTAAAGATGTTGCAAACTAGGAAGGCAGAGTCTTCAGTGACTACTTCAGTGCTCTTCTATGTCTTTTAGGTCAAATTGAGATAGAAAAAGCCTGTGACTTGCTCTTCAAGAAAGCAGAGTCCATTGATTACCGCTACGAGGTGCACGATCAGGCTGTGGAGGGATTGCTTATCCTACCTCTGTATGGCTCAATGTCAACAGGTAAGAGCTTGTGATGTCACAGGGAGCTTAATTCACACCAGTGTGAACTGCAAGAGTTGTTACAAACAGCATCCTCATCAAATCTTTCTGAAAAAATGCCGTTAATTAACCCATTTGTTACAATACTGTGGCACTACTGGGTTTTTTGGGGGTGTTCATAAATTAATTAAACTTCTCTGTGCTTGCACTGCAGCCTCCAGTTCAAATTCATATCCACTGGATGTGGCCTCACATGGCATCAGGATCCTCAGCTTAGGGAGGGGATGGTGTGTAACTGGAAGTTCAGATGGCCTCACTCTTTGTTTTAGGTGGAAAAAAACGTTGCCAGGAGGTTTTTGGTGATGAGAGCAGAGCTGGAAGGGAAGATAGCAGTGGTGCAGTGTCACACAGTGTAGGAAGGTGCAGGTTATCAGGGGCAGGCACTCTGTTTTGTTTGGCAGCAGTACCACAGTTAGTTCCCAAGAGTTAAAACCAGAACCCTCTTGACCTTTGCTGTATTTTCAGATGAATTCGAGGGCAGTGTTTGAATATGTGGGTGCAGTTTGGAGGCTGCCAAGGGGCTGAGTGAGTGCTCAGAAGAGCAGAGCAGCAATTTCCCCCTAAAAGTGCTGCTGAGATCTTGTAAAGATCTGCAGAGGGAGCAAAACTGATCTTTTGGAAAGAGCAAAGTTGCATAAAAGAAAGGCATAGCTTCTTCCTTATTCCATGAAATTGATTCCTGACTGAGAGGGATATTTTATTTTATTTTTATTTTGTGGCAGTTCCCCAGAGGACGTTGTATTTGAATATGTCTAAGTACACATTAGAAAATCTTCCTTAAAGAGATTTTTATATTTTTCAAAAATAGTAAGTGAGAAAATTTCAGGGGAAAGTTGAATTTCCACCTCTTTTTTTTGTTCCTTGGGAAGCCAAATGAATGGATGGGAGCTGCATGTGCTGCTTTGATACATGTTAAATGAAGATTTGCTGGAAACATGGGGGAGTTAACTAGTTTTTTTTTTAATGTTCACATTCATTTGCTCTGGTGGTTAAAACCCTTCAAATCCTTCATGAAGATTCTGTTCAGACCAGACATCTTGTTTGTTTTCCTGGTTAGGAAACAGCCAGGAGAGTTGGCCTTTTTCCAAATCTGGGATATTTGAGCAGTAAAGAAAATATCTGATTTCTGGCGTTTGCTAAAATAACACCAATTCCATATTTTAGGATGTTGTGTGATTCACTTTCTAATGTCATTCAAGTGACTTTCACTCAGCATTTGAGTGAATTTGGTGGAAATCAGTGCTGTAACATAAACTGTTTGACTGACTCTGTCATTTCAGATCAACAGAAAAGGATATTTTTGCCAGCTCCTACGGGCATTAGAAAATGTGTGGTGTCCACAAACATTGCTGCAACATCTCTGACCATCGAAGGAGTCAGGTATTAGTTTGTGTCCTTCAGAAAAGCTGTGGCAGAGGGGATAATTCAGGAAGTTCTGACTTCCTTCCACTTCTGTACCTGCCCTGTTGCCTTTTTCGTGTGTGTGTGGTGAGAAAACCCTTAATACCATTATATAGTCTTAGAGATGACTGATGGTTTTGGGCCCTAATTTGAAATCAAATCTTGACTTCACTAAGTAACCCTGTGGTAGCTGTCTGTGTGCTGAGAGCTCTGTCCTTTCCCTCTCTCAATCTTTCTGCTCAGGTACGTCGTGGACAGCGGGTTTGTGAAGCAGCTGAATCACAACCCCCGGGTTGGCTTGGACATACTGGAGGTGGTTCCCATTTCAAAGTAAGTTTTTAAACGTGTCTTGGTGCTCCTGGGAGTTGCTGGGACAACACCATGTATTGGTGGATCTTTAAAAAAAAAAAGTCAATAAAAAGATGAGGAGCAGCCTTGAGGTTCTGTGATTTAAAGCCGTTTTGTTTGTTGCTACGTAGGAAGTGGTTCAGGATGTATAATTTCCTATAAGCTTCAGACTTTAAGAAGGAACTGACAGTGCATTGTCTGCAGCCTGAACAGGGGCTCACATGTCCTCTTGTGTTTGAATACAACAACCTGATTCAGAGAAGCTTAAAAAAATCTTCCGTGCACAGAAACGCTGCTCCTGCCTGTCCTCGTCCAGCTGGAATTCTCAGCTGCTGCACAGTAAAATACCTTCTGCCTGCAAGCACAGAAATTGTTGTTATTTGTCATAATCACCCCGTGGGTAATACTAGAAGGGATTGAGAGTTTGGGTGTTGGTTTTTCTGGAAGGAGCGAGGCGAAGCAGCGAGCTGGCCGAGCCGGCAGGACCTCGTCCGGGAAGAGCTACCGGCTGTACAGCAGGGAGTTCTGGGAGCAGTGCATGCCTGACCACACCGTCCCAGAGATCAGGAGGACCAGCCTGACATCTGTCATCCTGACCTTGAAGTGCCTCTCCGTGCATGATGTCATCAGGTGACCTCTGGGCAGGGGATTATCCCTGTCTCCCCGAGTCTGGGCAGCGCGGCACCCGGAGCCTGTTGGCAGGAGGCAGGATTAGGTTCCCCAGCCAACTGTGACACTTCAATTCAATCAGCTTTTCTGCTGTTCTCCCCAGCCTGTAATTCCAGGTTGGATCTTGAGCTCAGGTTTGGGGTTCTGCCAAAACTGGCTTGCTCCAAAATTCAATATATAGTTTGTAGCATTCCTTTCAAATATTGATGTTTATGCCCCAAAAGCTTCATCTCTGCGGGATGGTTTAATTTTAAGATCATACAAGTGCAGAAAATACAGTTGAGCTTTGTGTGTGCCATGCTGGGATTTGTCATCAATCATAATTCCCCAGCTTGAGGCAGAACATGCAGTAACACACCCTTATGCTGCAGATGATTATGTGCATTTTGGTCAAAAACCTGTATTGGGAGGTGAAAGAAGTGTTCTAATAAATATGAAAACTAACAAAGCTATTCTGGGTCTGAACAGATTTTTTTTTTTTTACTTCATTTTTTTCTACAGATTTCCCTACTTGGACCCCCCTGAAGAAAGACATATTTTAGAAGCTCTCAAGGAACTGTACCAGTGCAGTGCTATTGACAGGTAAAAAATAAAGGGGTGCAGTCACTACAGGAATTTAATGGTTTAACTGGGGTCAGTGTTTGTTTGTGTGGACTAAAGGAACTTCCCCAGCAGTAGAATATGTTTCCTCATTTAGCTTCCAGGAAGTTACTACTGGGGTTTAATATAGGCTGTAAAATCAGGGTTAGAGCTGGGCTTGGGGATTGAGAGATACCGATCAATTTGTCCACATTGTCCTGGAGTTCCTGAGTGACCTCAGACAAATTACCTCAACCCAGTGCTGGAGCTCCTGATGGCAGGTCCCAGACTGTTGTGACGGAGGAATTTGGGCTTTAGCTGTGAGGTCCATCCAAGAACTCAAGGCAGGAAGCAAGATCTTATCCTGAGCTTCCAGGAATTCTTCTTGCAGGAATTAAATAAAAGCTGGCTGTGCCTGGCATGGAGCAGGCACAGGCAAACTGGGGACACTTCTTCGTGTCTCCAGCACCTGTCTGGGCACACAATCCAGAGGGAAATGCTTATTCCATGCCCTTAATCGGGATGTGGTGGCTGACTTAGGTGTGCATGCCCCCCCTTTAACATTGAAACATGAATCTGGTGTTTCTGTCTTTTTTCCTGGGATAAGGAGAGGCCATGTGACAAGACTGGGAGAATTCCTGGTGCAGTTTCCCCTCCCTCCCAACCTGAGCTGTGCTGTCATAAAAGCTGCTTCCCTTGACTGTGAGGATCTCCTGCTTCCCATTGCAGCCATGCTGTCCGTGGAAAACGTCTTCATCCGGCCAGGTAGGGAGCCTCTTATCCCCAAAGCAGCCCCATATGTTTTTCAAGCTTTCCATGAGCTTGGAGTCAGGGCACATTGCATGCCAGGAATTGGACAACAGCTGTTCCAAAGGCTCCAGACCAGCATGGAATTGGGTTGCCTTTGTCCCAAGGCTGTGAGTTGGGAAGCAACGTTTGCGTAAGCAGGAGGATGCTGAGAGGTCATGAGGGGGAAACTGTGTTACAGGAGGGGAAAGAGTAAAAGAAAAAACCCCAGAAAAGCAAAATGCACCACAGCAGATGTTTTGCTGTTGGTCTGAGTACAGGCAACAGGGACTGATTAATTTGTTTTTAATGAACGGGGTCACCTCTGGATTATCTTTCCTGTCAATAACTCTGTTTAACCAAACAGACCTTTTAAGTTACTGTGAGAAGCTCAGCTTGTCACTGCCTCCTTTCCAGTGTTTTTCTAAATGGAAAATACAGTTTTGCTGTGGTTCCAGGGTAGCACCTTTCATAGTGCTAAACCCAGTCTCTCACATCCTCCTTCCCATCTCCTTTCCCCTCCTGTCAGTCCCCCTTCGTGCTCCATATATTTGTATATGTCCTGTCTTTGTGGGAGACCTTTGTCCTTCCCAGTCACTCCCTGGCTCTTGTCCAGTTATCCCTGTAGTCCATTAACTGTCCCTGTTAGCACAACAGCCCCAGACACTGCTGACACCACTGATAACCTGGAATCTGCTCCGGGGTCCTTCCCATTCCCACAACTGCCCCTGTGCTTTCCCATCCTCCCTCTGGCAACGTGCCCTTCTTCTCTGATGCATTTGTAACTCTTCAGCAACCCTGAACACTGGGAAGAACACGGTACTCCCACCCTGAAGGCACCTCAGGATGTGTAGGATCAGGCCTCCTTCATCCATGGTACCTTTAATACCCACAAACTTCTGCCATCCTCTACAACAGCAGCACTGCAAAGGCCTTTGCAGTTGTGTCTCCCTCTCCTGAGGGGAAAAGGTTGTGCTGGAGAAGAAATTCTCAGGGTATTCAAACCTTGAAATAACACTTTGGAAGTGTTGCTTTTGCCCAGCACATTCCTAGCACTTAGTGAAGGTGGATTCCCACTAAACTCACAGATGCACATGTTTTTCTAGACTCTTATTTAAGACCTCCACTGCTGTGGCCCTGGGACAAAGGCTGAGTTAAATAGATTAGATGGGGTGGTTTCAACAGCCTTGTTTTTTCTCTCAGGGTAAAACTTCCACTTGATCCTCGGGAGCTGTTTGTTTAAGGTCTCTGTTCCTTTATCTTTCCATGTCAGCATCTGAGCTGATTGTGAGAGAGAAATATGTAGAACCTTTCCAAGAGAGCAGAATTCTTCATCTCTGTTTGCTGACTGATGAGATTAATGACAGATTTAATAGCATCTACATGCTCTTGTTCAGCAGGAATGGAAGGAGGAAGAGCTGTAAATGCAGCTGTGGAGGAGAGACAAATCTAAAAATAACATGAATAAAGAGCCCAGGCTGCCAAACACACTTTGGAGAGATGCTAACAGGACATTAGGGAGTGCTACCTAAAAATGACTTTAAGTGAGATATAACTTACTTCCTCAGGTGATCCTCAGAAGCAAAAGGAGGCTGAGCTTCAACACCAGGAACTTTCCTCACAAGTGGGAGGATGCAATGACTTTGCAACCCTCTTAAATATTTTTGAACAGTGCAAAGCAAGGTATAAAATGATCCCTTACAGTAAGTGGTTTTGCATTGCTCATAAATCCCAGGTGCTGCCAGTCCTTAGATGTGCTGCACATACACGTGTGTCCTCGTGCCTAATTGCAGATTTATTCCTTCTTTGAGCTGTAATTTCTGTCATTATTTAAGCCAACAAAGTATCTGCTGTGTAGGTTGTTGCCTTTGTGTGACCATAACGAAAAACAGAGGCAAGTTTCTGCCTTCAGCTTCCAAAGGGCTTCTTTATAATACAAATATTTCTGTTCTCAGCAAGTCTCCCTCAGCCTGGTGCCAGAGACACTGGATCCATTGGAGGGCTTTAAAATCTGCTTTTAGCGTGGAAAAACAGCTCCGGGAAATCACCAGTAAACTGAAAGAGGTAAAAAATGCAATTTCTAGTTATGTTTGAGTTATGTAAGTTTATATTTCAGACATGTACTGGACCACTGAGCCTTTGCCAGATGGCTGCTGCCTTCCTCATGTAGAAACTAATCCACTTAAATATTTTTTTAGAGCATCCTTGCTTGTGTAACTAACAGGTATGATGGTGGGAACAGGCAAAAAGGAGAGTTTTTTCCCCCTTTCCTCATGGTTTCTGTACAGTGAGAAACCCAGAGTTTAAAATCCATGGGGTGGAAGGGGGTATAACTGCTTTTTCTTTAGGAAAGATCCTGATTTGTGTTGTTTTTCCTTTACACAGCTGCCAGACTTCCCCAAAGAGACATTTGAAGGCTCCAGAACTGAAATACTGAGGAGGTGCCTGTGTGCAGGATACTTCATCAATGTAGCTCGGAGGTGAGGAAGGGAGTTTGGAGATTGGGATGGGAAAGATGTCACACACATTATTTATATATATATTTATATACAGAGGGCTGTGTGCTGGGAAAAGGAGTAACTGCAGCTGCAGGAGGTGTTTCTGTGCAGGGCTGGAAGCTTTGTAGGGTCTCTGCTTTTCACTGTCATTACTATTCCAAGGATGTGAGAAACTTCCCCAGGAATGTCATTTTTCTATCTGTGGGATGAACTCCCAAGCTGATGGGTAGTTCCAGGCATTAAACTAAAGGTCTTGGAAATTTCCAGTAATCATGGCTGTCAAAGGCTCCACTCCCAAACCCTGTCCTTATTGTGTTGCTGTATCTGCAGTGCTACTGTGGTAAATCAGATATGTTTTATTCCTTGTTGTTTTGCTGGTTTTTTTTACAGTTTAATTCTGGAATTCCCCTTTCTCTCCTTAGATATTTGACTTTCTCTCCTTAGATATTTGACTTTTGACTTTCTCTGTGTAGATATTTGAGTATTTTGTCTATGCTGCAGCTGATTAGTTCAGTTCAGTCTTGCTGTCCGTGTTGCTGTCTGATCACAGCAAAGTGTGGTTCGTTATTTGTTTGTTTATTTATTTTTCCCCAACCCTTTCAGATCTGCAGCCAGGACCTTCTGTACAATGGACGGACATGGCAGCATTGTCTACATCCACCCCTCATCCACAGTGAGTTTCCAAATCTGTTGGTAAAGTAGCAAAGGATCTGTAACAGGAATAAGAGGCAGGTCCCACAAACTCTTCCTGGAGCTTGGTCTGGTGCAGTGTTCATTTGGAGAGTGGGGAAGAGCCTCTTCAAAGAACTTCTTCAAATTTGGTGAATGTTTGGCTTATGATACGAGTGTAACACAGACTGAACTTTCTCTCTGGGCAGTTCTAAGCGAGTCATTCCACCTTAATTTCCCTGAAAATTAAGGATAATGTCACCTCGCATCTGAAGCGCTGAAAAACGCTCCAGTGAAGGGGGCTCTCTGGAACTAAAAAAACTCTTTTCAATCAGCTCAGAAAGAATCTTTTTTTAACTGATTTTTCCAGCTGTACAACCAGGAGACTCTGCTGGAGTGGATCATCTTCCACGACGTCGCCGTGACGTCCAAGATCTACGTGCGGACGGTGTGTCCCGTGCGCTATGAGTGGGTCAAGGACCTGCTGCCCAGGCTGCACCAGATCGATGCCTACGAGCTGAGCAGCGTGGCCAGGGAGGAGGTGACAGAGGAGGAAATAACCAGGTGGAAGCACAGGGAGGACCTGAAGAGGCAGCTGGGTGAGCACAGGGAGTCCGTGTCTCCGGGGCAGCTTCTTGGTTGTGTGCACTCCTGTTATGCCACTGGATTCAGTCTGGCCTGGAATGAATTTTTTCATGTTTACATGGTTGATGTGTGTGCTTCTGGCTGTTCTCTTTTCTCTGCAGTCCTTGTTTTCTGTCTCTGCAGTGTGAATAGTGGTGTTTCCTTACTGGCTCTTGCCGAGGTCCTCCCTTCTTCTGGCTTCCTAGAGCTCGCAGGGGCAAAACTTGAACACAGAACTGGCTAAAAGCATTTTGAATCTGATTATTTTGAGTTATTGTCTGATTATTTAAGTTTATAAAGGCTTAATTAATGGAAGGAAAGGCTGCAGCATGAGCTGAATTATTATCTGACTGCAAGACAGAATAATTACAAATGTTCTATTGGAATAGAATAGAAATATCCCAATAATTACAAATATTCTAATGGAATAGAATAGAAATATCCCAATAATTACAAATATTCTAATAAAGGGTTTCTAACCATAGATACCCAAATAAGAGAGAGAAGTCCTAAGGGTTATGGAGAGGAGGGGAGGGGGAAAAATTCAACCCAAAAAACCTCACCCACCAAAAAACATGAAGGAAAAAGCGTCACATTTTGGTGAATGTCTCCTTCTGACAGTGAGTTTAATGCCATATGTTTCAATAGTTTTAATTAAGACTGGTGCCTGCTGACTGATCTGCTGCTTGACATTCTCTGAATTCTTCTGTCAGCAGGTCCCTAAAGCAGCCAAGTATTCCAAGGGCCTCTTTCCTCCCGAGCTGACCCTTCCAAAACATCCACTTTAATGTACAGCACAGGCACTGGCAATATTGATTCTCTTCCATTTCCTTAAAATGGAGACTGCTGGGCTCAGAGAGTGTGCATTGTTGTATAAACCCACCATTTTAAATTATAAAAACGTGGATTTCATGTGGTTATAAATGGGATAGGAAAGGATATTTGCATTATTAGGTAATGCAGAGGAGCACCATCCAGCTGAAGTCCAAGGAGCTGAGGTTTGTTCTCCATGTCCCTCCTAACATTGTGACTTCACCAGGCCATTGTCAATTCATTTGGGATTAATATTGACCTACCAGATGTTGTATTTCTGGGAGCTTCATAAAAATAGGTGGCTGAATAGCTGAGAAAGGCTTAATTAGTGGAAGGAAAGGCTGCAGCATGAGCTGAATTATTATTTGACTGCAAGACAGAATAATTACGAATATTCTAATAGAATTGAATAGAAATATCCCAATAATTACAAATATTCTAATAAATAATCTAATGTTGATTAAAGCCCCAGGGACAGGCTGCAGTAGCTGCTTCATTCACACAGCTTTTAGGCTCTCAGAGTCTTTGATTAATTTTTTATTATTGTTATTTTAAACTGAAAATATTTCTTGCTTTTCTTGCCTCCTGGGAGAAGCCCTGCCAAGGTCTCAGTGCTGGGGGAGAACCTGCATTCCTGATGGTGTCTGATCCCAATATTGGCTTTTCCCACTCCCTTATCTCCTTGTTGTCCAATCTCTTCCCCCTCCCTCTGGAAATTTTTCAGAGATAGTTTATTCTAAGCTTATTTCCTGTCCCTCTCCTGCCTAAACCTGAGTTGGAGATGTGTAATTTAGAGAGGAAATGGGTGCACAGAACACGAGATGCACGTTCTGTGTTCCAATAAAACCCAAGGCACACGCTGGGGATGAGAAGAGCCCAGCTGCAAATATTGACATGGGACTTCAGGCAGGATTTTAGTTTTCATTTTTTTTCCCTTCCCTGCTGTGGTACAGTCTGTCCTCTCTGGAAGTCATTCAAATGCCTGCCTGGGACTTGAAATAAAAAATAAAAAAGAGATTCTGTTGGGTGGTTTTTTGGGGTATTTTACCAACAGGAGGAATTGTAGTGCTGGGAGTGGGGGTGGTGACACAAAAAAGTATATATTTTTTTTCTCTTCTCCCCCCCCCAGAAGGAGCCACAGACAACTCTGCCAAGAAGATGGAGAGAAGGAATGATGATCAGTCCATCCTGGATGCCAGAGCCCGTTACCTGGAGAGGAAGCAGCAAAGAGCACAGGGTTTAGGTGGCCCAGTGAAAGAAACGGGGTAATTCTGGTGGCAGCTCCACTCCCACGTGAGGGAGGGTGGTTTGTGCAGCTCTGGGGATGTTTGCACGATGCAAAGTGACTCACAGGAATGGAGGGAAACTTCTGCTTTGTGGTTATTTCAGTGCAGAAGAGGAAAACACAACCTTCCTTTGCTGCATCCAGCAGGGAAAAGTGACCAAGCTGAATTTTGTTGCTGCGTGTCACTGGCAACAGTTTACTGGCTGGAAGACTGTGGTGCCAATTCTGCAGCATTTAATTGACTTAAAAAGGTCTCAGTGCCAACAAAAATAAAATTTTCTTAAAGATTGGCTGTTTTTTTTATTTTTTTTTTAAGGAGTGGAACTGTAAGTTTTTATCCATTTCACTCAGTATGATGGTTGTACAGCCTCAGTGCTCATCCTCAGTTAAATGTGTAGGAAGGGCTCTTTTGATGATGGAACCATCAGGATTAAATCCAGAAGGACATTTGCCCCCTGCATTCCCTGCTGCACCACGTACAGGGATGGCTCTGGGTGAAGATGTCTTTGTGTGCCAAGTGTTCTGGCAGTGTTTCCACATTCCTGCTAACAATGCATCATTTTTGTCAGGGATGACTTAGCACTGTGGGTTTTCCTGCTGGCAAAGGAACCCACCCCAGCAGTGGATCCCTTATCCCCCAGGGCTGGCAGCAGGGCTGCTCCTAATGGGCTGTTTGTCTGGATTTGGGGACTGTTATTTTTAAAAGATATGGATTTTGATCTCAAGAATGACTGTTTCAAATGTGTGGGAAGAACACACGAGGAAATACAAGCTTTTGTCCTTAAGCTGTGATGCTTAGTCATCATAAAGTTTGTCTCCTTCTCAGTAAAGAAATAATCCTGTTTTATCACCTCAATAACCCTAAAATGTTCCAGTGTGGAGCTTGTACAAGACAATTTCCAAATAACTGGAGGAACATGCTGTCATTTTTTCCCACCTCTGTGTGTCACCTTCTTGCTTTCCAGGTCACTTGTTAAAAGGGATGTGGTAAAATATTCACCATTCCCCCTCTGCTCCACCTTGAGCATTCCAGGCTGATCAAAAGCTCTCAGAAACCTTGGGATTCTTTGTGGGAAATATAATATTCCTCATTAAAAAAAAAGTGGTAGATCTGATAATTGTTCCTCTTTTCTGTAATTATGCCTATTAAAAGGGAAGAGATGGGGAAAGATGGGGAGGGACTTTGGACAAGAGCTTGGAGTGACAGGGCAAGGGGAATGGCTTCAAACTGACAGAGAGGAGGTTTAGGTTGGATATTGGAGAAAAATTCTTCCCTGGGAGGGTTTTTTTTCCACTCTGGTGCTCAGGCTCTGCTTTGGAGCCAGGAGCACTTTTCCTTGACTCAACCTCTTTTGCTGTTTAATTTGATTCATGATATATTTGCAAGTCATGGCCACTCCTGAGTCAAAGGACATCTGCCCCACACCCTGGGTCTGAAATGAGCAGCTGGAATGGCTACTCTTTCTTGGGGCTGGAAATCTCTTGGTAGCTCCTGCTGCTTTTCTGGTTCCTTTTATTGTTTTCACTCTCTTAGTAGCGAAAAGGGAGGGGTTTTTGTTTTCCCCCTTGTGTTTCAGGGCTGCTCAGAGAGTTAGAAATGGGGAATTTAAGACAAATTATGTGAGGAAATAACCATGAGATTGCAAAATAAGGTGTAAGGAAAGCTGGGGTGCCCCAAGCACACCCAGCTCTGGGCAGAGCACTTGGAATGCTGCATCATCACAGAGAAACAGCTAAAACTTAACTCTTTTTGTGTGCTGGAGGTAAATTGTGAGTTAATAAACACGGGAGGAAAGTGGGAGTTTGACTGTGTTCCTGCACTCATTAACAGTGGGCCGTGGGAACAGCCCCAGGGACCATCCCTGGGGTTTATGGATGGACAGGGACAGTGGGGACACCCTGGGGGGAGAACATCATATCCCGGTGCCAGGGACCCCCCAGTGCCTTGGTGTGTCCCCCAGGGGGTGGATCCATCACATCCCAGTCACAGGGACACCCCTGTCCCTTCGGTGTCTCCCCAGGAGAATGGGATCTGTCCCATCCCTCGGTGTCCCCCAGGGGGGGTGGATCCATCAAATCCCGGTGACAGGGACACCCAAGGGAGGGGGGGATCCCTCACATCCCGGTGACAGGGATATCCTAGGGGGGAATCCATGGACACCCCTGGTGACAGGGACACCCCGAGAGGGGGGATCCAAGGACACCCCCGAGCTGGGGGATTCATCACAGGGACAGGCCGGGTGACAGGGACACCCCACGTGGAGGTGGATCCATCACATCCCGGTGACAGGGACACCCGGAGGGGGGTGTCCAGGGACACCGCGGGTGACAGGGACACCCCGGAGAAGAGATCCAGGGACACCCCGAGGGGGAGTACCCATGTCCCCCCTCCCCGGTGTCAGGGACACCCCGGGGGGGTTATCCAGGGATACCCCGGTGTCAGGGACACCCCGGGGGGGTTATCCAGGGATACCCCTGTTATCCAGGGATACCCTCGCTGTCAGGGACACCCCGGGGGGTTATCCCAGGTGTCCCCCCGGTGTCAGGGACATCCTGGGGGGGGGGGGGGTTATCCAGGTGTCCCCCCGGTGTCCCCCCGGTGTTCACCTTGTCCCGGGCCGCGCGCGCGGTCACGTGACCCCGGCGCGGGGCGGTGCGCGCCGGGCGGAAGTGACGCCGCCGGCCCCTCGGTCGCATGATGTGGCAAAAAAAAAAAGGCCGGGAAGGAGCGCTGAGTGATGCGTCCCCAAATAGTCCCTTCCGGCGGCGCATCACCCCGGCCGCCCCACTGGCGCCGCCCGCCGGCGGATCCCTCCGCGCGCCCCGGCGCGGCTGAGGCGGCTCGGGCGGGCGGCAGGTGCGCGTATCCTTCCGCCGGTGGTATCCTTCCGCCGGCGGGGCAGCCCTTCCGCACGGCCCCGCTCCGCCATCGCGGCCCGCAGCGCCCGCAGCGCCGAGCCCGGCCCGGCACGGAGCCCCCGCCGCCACCATGGCACAGATCCTGCCTATCCGCTTCCAGGAGCACCTCCAGGTGGGCGCCGGCGCGGCCGCGCTGTTCTGTCCCCGCCGTGCCGAGAGGACGTACCCGGGCCCGCCCGCGGTGCCGCCTTAGGGCTGTGGGGGGGCGCGGGTTGTTGCTGTCCGGGAGGGAAGCGCTGCCCGAAGGGCACCTTCCTGTAGGGGCCGGGCGGCCTGGCCTGCCGCCCTTGCCGGTGCCCCCCCGGGCTGGGCGAGGCCGGGAGGGGACGGGGAGCGCGGGTGGTTCCGCGGCGTGAGGGGAAATCCCGCCCCGGCTCCGGGTCTGCGAGGGACGGGAGCGAGCCGGGCAGGGCTGGGCTGCCTCCCTGCGCCGCTTCCTTCTAGATATATTAATAATCTTAACACCTATCCTTGTGAGGGCGTAGTAAGTGTTTCTCCCGGTGCTGTCTGGGTGTCATGTCACGTCCCGGAAGGGGAGCTGCAGTGAGTGCGGGAGCTGCCGCGGCTCCCGCAGTGCAGCGGGGGCAGTGCAGGTGCCCAGGTGCCCTTCTCTCAAACCCAGGCTCTCGCTGCACCGCCCTCGCCACCGCGGTTATTTCCTTTCGCTTCCCCGACACGGCTCCCTGAAGGCAGCGGTAACACGTCCTGGATGTGCAGGAACTCGGGGCTGCCTTCCCAGTTCCCGTGTCCGTGGGTGCAGCCGGAGCGCAGGGAGGGGTCTGGAGGTGCAGGTCCGGTTGTGCAATGGGCACTTCCCCTCTGGCAGGTCCGTGGGGCGAAGTACTGCGAGCCACGGTTCTCCTGGCTGGGGCCGTGGTGTTGGTTAAGCTTGGTTTCACTGCTGGGGAGGTTTTTTTGTGTAATAAGAGCTACATTGGCACACCTGGCTTCTGTGCCCCTTCTACCCCGTGGTTCCAGTGTCTGTGTTTAGTTTGTGTAACCAGGCACTGATGTACTGGTGGATTTCCATCATTTGTAGTGACTTCTTTTCCTGACTCAAACAGAAAAATTTCAATTCCTAGGCACCTTGCAAAATACTTATTTTGTGGTGTAAAATACCACTATCCAAAGGGTTTAAAAAAATGGTGCCATGGTTACTTTCTGTCTGGGTGGGTGACTGCTGAGTGGTGAGGAATTTTCCTTCCATATCAGTGGAAAAGCAGGCCAGAATTCCTAGCTGAGGTGTGCCTACACTCCTTAGTGAGCAGCACTGACAGGGGAATCCCAGAGCTTTGTCTCTGAGCAGTGCCTTGTCCTGGTGGTGGCACAGCCCAGACCCAGGTGCTGAGGTGGTTCTGTGTCCTCAGGTGAAACTCATCCCTCTGTGTGCCCAGCTCCTACTAAAGCTTTGTGGAAATGCACCTCTGATATATTATTTAAGCCCCAAACCTTGCATGTGACCCACTGCCAGGTCTCTAATGACATGAGTCCTGTTACATAATGAAACTCATCTGCCTCATGCCAGGAGTGCTGGGAGGGTTCAGGCCAGCACTACTGTGGAACAGGACTGTTCTGCCCAAAGTCTGATTTATGTGTTTAGTTGTGTTTTAATTTGCATTTTCTCTCCCTGCACCCCTTCACTGGTTGAACCAGTATCTTTTATAGCTGCACACTGAGCTGATCTCTCCTCAGGTGGGGTGTCCAGCCCTCTCAGCCTGGCTGCACGTGGCTCTTGCCCAGTTTGCTGCTCCTGCTGAACTTCCTCATTTTATTTCATTGAGAAATTTTCAGAGGAATTTGAATTCTTGGAGTTCCTGTTTTCCCCCTGAAGCTTCTGACATGAATTTCGAGAGCAGAAACGCTGCTGTTGCAGTGGTTTTGTTTTAGTGTGTTCCAGGCTGCTCCTAGGGAATCCTCATGGGCTCAATAGTACAATTTCTTGAACTGTGCCTGACCTACATTGTCGAGGAAACTTGTCTTACAGGTGTTGGGCAACACTTGCAAGTTTGTAGCTGATGCTTTAATGCAAGGCAAGGCACCCACCCAGAGCCTTATTCATAAAAGTCAGGTGGTGAATGTGAATGAGGAAGATTTTGCAGGCTGTTATTGAAATCTGATCTTGGCTGGTGATTTGGGAATGGAGAGTAAAGGCTCCAGAAGCCCTGAATGCCTTGGGGACACAGGACAGTGCTTTGTACCCCAAACTGGAGCTAAAGATCTACTTTGGGCAAGAAGTTGGCTTGGCAGGGCCAAGTGAGCTTTCTGGGGAGTCTGAAACCAAAATGTGTTCTCAGGCTTCAGGTTTTGTTTGTTTGAGTCCCATCACATGCTCTGCAATCTCAGCTGTCCCAAATATGTAGGTTTTATCT